CCAAACTGAAATAAATATGCTTGGCACGTGGGATAACAATCCCAACATTATGAGAGCCACACATACCTGATAGAAGCAAATCCTTGGTGAAACACCAACTTCCTTGATCGATCTTGATGAATTTGCCCTTTTCTCCTTCCTCTTTTCTCTTCTCCTTTCTCCTTAGCCCTAGCGTGAAATCCCAAATTCTAAAACTAACTAAAATCTAATTTGACCCATATTAAACTCCTAAAAATGGATTAAACTAATAGGGCAATGAAAAGACTAAAATACCCCTTAAAATTCCGGATTGGACATTTCCTTAATCCAACAGCCCAACTTCCAAAGGGCATAACTCACACATACGAACTCGGAATTGCGCAAACTTGGTGGCATTGGAAAGATCGTTCCAAGATATTTCTAACCATATCTGGAACTACACCTAACTCATCTTGAGCTAGGAGTTATGGCCGATTTAAGTTAACCAAAAACTCAATTTTAACTTACTTAAAATTTTCCAGATTTCCTTATACTTTTCAAAAATAACTATTTCCAAATTTTAAACTTCCTTCTAGTTCTTTCTAGTTGTGAGATGTTACAGGTTGTGTCTATTATTCATAAAGGTTATCCTCAATAGACACAATCTTAGTTTTTGCATTCCTGAAATTCTCAAGAACACAAGTAAAAACCACTCCTATCAAGAAGTATTATCCTCAAGAGCAACAGGACCTGATAGAGATGCAAGATGCTTAGTTGTCTTAGGATTATATCTTCCGTGCTTATATTGTAAATCTATTCCTAATCTATAAAGGAATTAGATCGCTGTTTCATTCATCAAAAAGCCTAAGTTAGTTGAGTGTAACTAATTTAGTGGGCAGTGTTGTATCTGCTTAGTCAAATTCAAAATCATCTAGAGTTAGGTGGTTTAGTGGGCAGTGTGGTATCTGCTTAGTTAAAGTCTAAGTTATCTAGAGTTAGGTAGCTTAGTGGGCAGTGTTGTATCTGCTTAGTTGCTTTCTTTGTAGTAGAGTTACTACATAGAGGGGGAAGGGATTTAGAGGTAAATTCCTAGGTTGAAGTTGCTGTAATCTAAATTGTTGCTCCGTTTGAGTGAAATGGAGTTGGATTGAAAGCCTGGGAGGACGGGTCGTGGTTTTCACCGCCCTTGAGCATGGGAGTTTCCACGTAAACTGCTTGTGTTATTTTCTTTGTTATTTATGCCTTCATTACTGTTATTACTGAGTCGAGGAACCTGGTCCGTTGACTAATAGTGGAAGCATATATCTTATCAATTGGTATCAGAGTAGGTGCTCTCGCTGGTTAACACCAAGAGAGATTCCTGCAGAAAGATCGCTGCTCTATTGAATCTAGAAGAAGGACAATCGTCAACAAGACCACCTCGTTTCAATGGTCAGTTCTATAGCTGGTGGAAAACGAGGATGTATGACTTCTTAATGGCTGAAGACATCGAGCTATGGGATATCGTGCTTGATGAACCCTTCATCCCTACTAATGAAGTGAAAGATGGAGAAATCATAAGAGTTGTTCCCAAGACTCGTCAGCAGTATGATGAAGCAGACATAAAGAAGATCGAGAAAAGTTACAAAGCGAAGAAGTTGTCAGTGTGTGGTATAGGTGCTGAAGAGTGCAATTGCATTTCGACGTGTGAATCTGCAAAATAAATTTGGGATTGTCTCAAGACGGATCATGAGGGCATGGAGCAGGTGAATGAGTCAAAGGTAGAAATGTTGACTACCCAATATGAGAAGTACTTCACAATGAAAGCAGGAGAAACCATTCATAAAATGCATACTAGATTCTCCTTTATAACCAATAAAGCTACGCTGCTTGGGAGAGCCTATTCATCCTAGTAAAAAGGTCAGGAAGATTCTTCGAATTCTTCCTAAGTATTAGGCTAGCAAAGTGGATGCCATTACTAAAGCGAAGGACCTGAAGGTGTTGACTATGGATGCCTTGATTGGGAACCTTCAAACACATGAAATGAATAGAAACCAAGAAACTTCAAAGAATGAGGTAAAGAAAGATAAGTCTCTAGTTCTTAGGGTTTCTTCGGGTGAAACCTTCGGTGAAGAGGAGGATATGTCTTACCTTACCAGGAGATTCCAAAAAATTATGAGGAAGCATGGAGGTTTTCGAAAATGAGGGAACTCTATCAGGGCAGCAAATGCAAGTGACTTGTGTCACAAGTGTGGAAAGCTCAGACACTTCATGAGGGACTGTCCAATGCTTAAGATTGAAACCAAAGAGTATCAAAGGCCTGGAGGTGAGAAATATAGGAGAAGGGACCCGATCCCTGATAAGAGAGCAAGAAAAGATGTAGCTGACTATGTGGTGAAGAAAGCTCTTGCTGTTTGGGGAGACTCCTCAAGTGAATCAGAAGAATCAGAACATCTCAAAGACGCATCCATGCTTGCTGTTAAAGATGATGAAAACTTGTTTGATGGCATGTTCGCCTTCATGGCAAAATCTGACGATGAAGAAGATGAAGAAAAGGTAACTCTCTCTGACCTTAAACAAAACTTGAATGCTTACTTTGTTAGAAAGTTGAGAAATCTAGATGTTATTTTGATTGACTCCATTATGGAGTTAACAACTGAAAAGGACTCTATGAACAATAGTATAGACAGTGTACATGAAGAAAAGTTAGCATTGGTTGGTCATGTGTCTGTTATCGAGGAACAATTGACTATTCTGGAGACTGAAAATCTAGAACTCAAGGAGAAATTGAAGACGTTGAGTGAGAACTCTAGCAAAGGAAAGGGTGATGCTAGCAGTTTGCAAATAGACCTAGAAGCCAGTCTATACATTGCTGAAACCACATTTGCACTATCCTTGGAGAGAAATGATCAGATGAAAAGGGACCTGGTCGGTCTCAAAGAAGAACTGAAAAAAATCTCTGAGATGGACCAACTCCACCAAGCTGCTTTCTAACATTACTAGTCAAGGTAACTACAACAGACATGGTTTAGGAAGCTTAAACATCAGTCCTCCCTATAATCCCCACAGTAAGTATGTGTCTGTGTCAGACAATCTGTCAAGTCTTCACTATGGTCGCAATGGCCATCTGAAAAAGGACTGTCCAGGCTGGAAAGCCTCTCAAGAAAAAAATTCAGTTTACTCTAAGACCGAAAGGTGCACATAACAAGGGACATTCTCCTATTCTTAAGTATTCTAACCTGAGAAAGACTAACTTGCCTCATTGGCTAAGAAGCACTCTCATTATGCCTCTATCTGCTTACTGGGAACTCAGACTAAAATGGGTTCCCAAGTCTAACAAATGATCTTTGTTGCAGGAGAGTGGAGGGAGTAGCAGTCAGTGCTGGTTCATGGATAGTGGATGTTCAAAGCATATGACCGAAAAGACTGAAAACTTCCTTTCGCTCAAGGCACTTCAAGATGGAGGTGTCTTTTTTGGTAATGGAAAGAAGGGGTATATTCTTGGAGTTGGTAGAATTGGCAAATCACTAAAACACTCTATTGAGAATGTCTACTATGTGAGTGGATGAAAATATAGTCTTCTCAGTGTATCTCAAATATGTGACAAAGGAAATGAAGTCAGATTTCTATCATAAAAATGCATTGTTACCAACTTGTCAACCAATGAGGTGACCCTGACGGCCAAAAGGTGCAAGAATCCTCGACAAATAGCATGTGAAGGTTGTTTCTATTATTCATAAAGGTTATCCTCAATAGACACAACCTTAGTTTTTGCATTCTTGAAATTCTCGAGAACACAAGCAAAAACCGCTCCTATCAAGAAGTATTATCCTCAAGAACAACAGGGACCTGATAGAGCTGCAAGCTGCTTAGTTGTCTTAGGATTATTCCGTGCTTATATTGTAAATCTATTCCTAATATATAAAGGAATTAGATCGTTGTTTCGTTCATCAAAAAGTCTAACTCAGTTGAGTGTAACTGATTAGTGGGCAATGTTGTATTTGCTTAGTCAAATCCTTGAGCAAGGGGTTTCCACATAAACTGCTTGTGTTGTTTTCTTTGTTGTTCACGCCTTCATTACTGTTATTACTGAGTAGAGGGACCTGGTCCGTTGACTAATAGTGGACGCATATATCTTATCAGGAAATATACAAAAGCATGGATATGCTAGATATTATCATACAAATATCCTAATCATTATAGAGAAATATTGGTTGACACCACTAATGATATTTTCACGTAGATAGCAACTAACTGTAGTAGTACTTTAGGGCTTGAGTTTCTTTTGGTTAATGTATTACCTTTGTAACCTATAAATAGTATCTTTTCACACAATTGTAATTCACTTGATTACAAGGAATACACCATCAACACACTTTTATTCTTGAGCACCAAGCTTTTCATATTTCACTAAGTAGTCTTTGTTTTGTAGCATTCATTTACTATATCAATCTTGGATCTGAGTCTTAGAGTCATCGAACAACATTGGATTCAGTATACAAACGTTCATCATCTGAGCTCTAACATTTTATACCACTTCTTTTACATACTTTATTATCTCTATTTCGTTTTTATTTACATTTATCAACATATTCAATTGCTCACAAACCGATACAAAGGAGTTAAACTAAGACTCATATATCCTTAATCTCGTACAGATTCAATCGTACCGTTTTCTTAGTATATATATATATATATATATATATATTATCGATTCTTAATAGCTTATTACTTGACTTAATGACATTGCAAACAATCCTTCTTTTATAATTAATAATAAATATATAGATGTAAGTTATGTTGGGAGAAACGAACTAGTCAAACTTAGTAGTATATACAAAATGAAATGAAACAAACGAAAGTGCTAGTTGGCATCTAGAAGGCATTGTAGATGTATATAATTTACTTATGCACGTTGTGTAACAACTAATTCTTAGACACCAAAAAATCATTAAAATATATACATATTCTATAAAATAAAATCATTTAAAGATCAGAAAAAAGGAACATATATACTAATTGTTTCATTAGTGGGAAGGCCTAGCTTGTAGCAACATTGAATTATGGAAGGTATTGAAATTAGTGATTCAAATAAATGGAAAAAGGATGAAGAAGAAGCATTGAAATGGGAAGATAATGATCATGATATTGTTCAAACTTATAATAATAATGTTATAAGAAGAGGAAGTGATGATGAAAGAATAATTAGTCTTAGCATGGAAGAGAAAAGGAGTTTGTTGGATAGGCTTATGAACATTCCTCAAGAAGAAGAAGACAATCACAACTTCTTGTTAAAGCTCAAACAACGCTTTCATAGGTATATAATCTTAATACATTTGATTGTTTAAATATATTTTTGACCACTTTTGATTTACGTTAAATATTAACTAAGTACTTTCTTATCTATTCTTTGTGTATCGTGCAATTTTTTGTGTTTGGTTTATTGAGAAAAGAGGAGACTTTCCTGATATTTCTGATTAAATCTTCTTCTTGTTTTCATAGCTCACATAAAATCAAGCGGCCATAGTTTGTAAATATTTGATGGAAATAAAAAATGTTTATATTTGACAATGCTATATAACTACATTGCTTAGGAATATGTTTAATAGATTATTTTGAATCCACCTCAAATATAAGGGACAATTTTTGGCATTTTAATTTCTCAAGGCTGATGCATCCACTCTAAATCCCCCACATGATATTTAATTTTATCTTCTAGGTCTTATTATTTAGAAGATTGTAAAATTCTCAAGATTATGTGTGATAAAATTTTGATGAATTAACCAAGATTTTTTTATTTTATTTTTTTTGTGAATGAATATTTGATCTTGTAAGTTTTAGTATATAGCTAGATTATGAAGTTAATTAACAAGGTTTTTTTTTAATGGTTTGCATCTTAAATTGAGTTAGGGTTGGGATTGAATTTCCGAAAATCGAAGTTCGTTTCGAACATTTAAATGTAGAAGCAGAAGCGTATGCGGGGACAAGAGCATTGCCTACAATGTTCAACTTCACAATCAATATGATTGAGGTAATTCACCTTAATTAATTAATCAACATCTTAATTATGCAAACAGATTAAAAAGGAAAAAAACAATTTCTAGGTGGTAATAATCTTTAAATCGTCTCTCTAATTTTAATTTTGGATCTAACTATTATATTCTCTACTTGTTGACTTTGCTTAAACTAAAACTAATCTAACCTCTATCTTTAAATTTGTAGGGTGCCTTGAATTATTTCCATGTTCTTCCAAAAAGAAAAAAGTCATTTTCAATTCTGAATGATGTTAGTGGAATCATCAAGCCTGGAAGGTGAGAGTTGATAGTTTATCTTTTTTTTTTCTTTCCCAAATGATAATTAGTAAAATGTCAACAATTTGATACCGACACCGGGTAGGAAGGCGCCTTTCGAGTCCCTCTGGGCTCTGAGCAGAGGCGAACGCAAGATTTGAAAAATTCGGGTGCACCAATATTAAGCTAAAAAAAGCTTTAAAAAAAGGTTCTACTTGGGATTGAAATCCTAGTCATTTGGGTGGATCTATTAACTAGTACCACTGGTACAAAACACCATTTCAGATTTTTTATGGAGGCACTATTAATTATATTTAGTTTGTGTCAGTTTGTTAAGATAGATATACATATGTATATATATATTTTTTCCGAAATTAACGGGTGCACGTGCACCCCCACAATACCATGTGGGTCCGCCTCTGCCTCTGAGTACAAGTCGCCTTTGTTAGGAAATGGCTTACTCTAATGTGGGACTTTTCGGGTGTGTTTGGTATGAAGGAAAACATTTTCTGCAAAATGTTTTCCAATTTTCTCATGTTTGGTTGGATTAAATGTTTTGGAAAATGTTTTCCAAATCAACTCATTTTCCTCAAATTTAAGGAAAATGACTTCCTTTTCAAAACTTAAGGAAAACATTTTCCAAATCTCTCTTCTAACTTCAAACAACAATTATTTTTTTGTTGAAAAAATCAATTTATTTTGTCCCTACCCTCAAACCAACCCCCTAACCAACCTCCCCCCCCCCCCCCCAAAAAAAAATAAAATTAAAACTTGTTTTTAAATTCAATTTTTTTTACCCACCCTTACCCCTATCCCTACCCCCACCCTCTCCCAAAAAAATATTAAAGATTATTTTTAAAAGATATTTCTAATTTCAATTTTTTATTTTTTACCCCCATCCACTACCCTCGCCCCCCCCCCCCTATCAATTTTTTTTTATTGTTTTTAAGATATATTTTCAACTTCAATTTTTTATTTTTTCACCCCTACACTCGATCCCCCCCCCTCCAACCCACCCACCCCCTACTCGCCACCCCTACCCCAAAAAAAATATTTAAGTTTGTTTTTAAAAAATATTTTCAATTTCAAAATTTCATTTTTCACCCTACCTTGACCCCCCCCCCCCCCCCCCCCCAAAAAAAAAAATTTAAGTTTGTTTTTAAAAAATATTTTCAACTTCAAATTTTCATTTTTTCACCCTACCCTTGACCCCCCCACCCACCTCCTACCTAGCCCCACTACCAGCCCCCCACGCCCCACCCCAAAAAAAAAAAAATTAAGTTTTTTTTAAAAAATATTTTTCAATTTCAAAATTTCATTTTTTAACCCCTACCCTCGACCCGCCACCCACCCACCCCCTACCAGTCCCCCCCCCCCCAAAAAAAAAATTAAGTTTGTTTTTAAAAAATATTTTCAATTTCAAAATTTCATTTTTTCACCCCTACCCTCGACCCCCCACCCACCCACCCCCTACCAGCCCCCCCCCCCCCCCAAAAAAAATTAAGTTTGTTTTTAAAAAATATTTTCAATTTCAAAATTTCATTTTTTTCACTCCTACCCAGCCCCACCCCCTACCAGCACCCCCCACCACCCCCCCAAAAAAATTTAAGTTTGTTTTTTAAAAAATATTTTCAACTTCAAAATTTTATTTTTTCACCCCAACCCCACCCCTATCAGCCCCCATCCCCCCAAAAAAAATTTAAGTTTGTTTTTAAAAAATATTTTCAACTTCAAAATTTCAATTTTTCACCCCTACCCTCAACCCACCCTACCCCCCCCCCATCCCACCCCCAAAAAAATTTAAGTTTGTTTTTAAAAAATATTTTCAATTTCAAAAATTATTTTCTATCCTAGTAAAAATAAAAGATATTTCTCAAAAAAAAAATATCATTCATAAATCAAACACTAAAAATCTTTTCCGAAAAATATTTTCTACTCACCAACCAAACATGAGAAAAGAAGTCAAAAATCAACTTGTTTTCTAGAAAAACATTTTCCTTCATACCAAACACACCCTTCATCGCGAATCCAAATTTTTTGAAGCTTCAATGTTAGTACGGAAATCGGATGGTCAATAATATTGTTTGGTTTTGCAGAATGACACTACTTTTAGGGCCGCCAGGTTGCGGCAAGACAACGTTGCTACTAGCTTTAGCTGGAAAGCTAAATTCAGATGTTAAGGTGAGCCATGAAACTTATATTATAATTCTTTTGTATACATATTAATTAAATAAACTCCAAGGGTTATAAACTATATACTTAACATTTATTATTTAAGGGGAAATTAAAGTACTCTTTTTTGAAAAAAATTAGACTTGGCAACATTAATATTTTATGTGATTTATGATATTTATAAATTTAACTCCCTTATTAATTAACATTCCTATATAAAAAAAAAATTATTTCTCACAAACATCCACCTTTCCTTCATTATCTGCACGATGATTTCTGCCAGCTTAGCCCAAGTTATGAGATATGGTAGAATACTATCTCAAGTCAAAGCCAAAACAATCATTAAAATTTTAAAATAAAGTGAAATATTATTTTTCAATCTTCTTCAAATTCTATAGGTTTTGATAATGATGAGGAAAATCATACTGCCACAACATCTTCCATCAACTTTGATTTATTATTTCCACATGGTTCACATTAGAGTACAAAAAAAATGTTACTATGATGAAATCAGAAGATCATGAGTTCGAGTCATCAAGGGAGTAAAAAGGGTGGGAGCTCCTAAGAGGGGGAAAAAAACTAACCGGACGTCTACTATCCTTTTTTTCTCAATTTTTTTTGTTATACATGAGGAGGGGAGGGGGAGAAATAGGGAGAGGATTACAAAGTGAGAAATCAAATTCTTACCGATAAGATGAGAGTTTAGCTAGACAATCAAATAAGCTACTAGCATTCCGACTCATTTGTCTTAGGCAGCCACCACACGTTTTTAAGAGCAATAACTTAAAAGTCAAATTATGTTTCACTTTTAATTTTTTTCAGTATATATTGGTGTGTGTTTTATTATGATTAAACTACAACGATACTTTTGCATAAAAGTAAAATTTATAAATCTCTAGTTTGAATCCCAACTATTGGTATAAGCCCATTTCCTCCCTCCAATCTTGGTGTACATTAGTGATCGCGTTGTATATTCTTATTCAAGAGTTATATCATTTGATGATGCCATGTAAATTTCTAGAAATATATGAACTGTATTACTAATCCTATTTCGAAAATTTCGTAAGGGGATGAAGAAGACTATAATTAGACAAAGGATCTCTCTTACACCAAGGTCCAATGTTGAAATAAGTTTGAAAGATTTCCCCTAATTTTATCCCATCTCAACAAATTGGGAAAAAAAACTTTACTAGCATTATTAGCATCGATTAAGACAAAATTTTCTTCATCTACACTTTATTATCTTTACTAACCTATGCTTTATGCTCTTCTTTTTTCTTGAAAAAAAAATTATTATTAGGTTTCTGGGAAAGTAAGTTATAATGGGAATGGAATGGATGAATTTGTACCAGAAAGAACATGTGCATATATAAGTCAAGATGATGTTCATCTAGCAAATCTAACTGTGAGGGAGACTCTTGAATTTTCAGCTAGATGTCAAGGAGTTGGACCTCGTTACGGTTAGTATTTAAGCGAATACAATGTTTTTTTTATATGCATATATATTGGTTTTATTACGAGACAACTGATGATGTTCATATCGATCTATCTGTGTTTGAAACTTCCTCCATTTTTCTTGTAGAAACAAGATATAAATAGTCAAAATAAATCAAATTGATCTTTTTTCTTAAGAGGATTATCTATAATCACTAACTATAAATTTTACATTAAATAAAATTTTCTTTTAGTTTTTTCCAACTTTTTTTTTTCTTTTATGACAAGGGAAACCCACAGCCACTACCCTTTGGGTGCGCACAGGGTAAAACCCCATCTCCTATGCAATAGCTCGCAAACCACATAGGAGAGGTAACCGCACTAGGCATGCCCGGTGCGACGAGCTCGACCCAGAAAGTTTTTTCCAACTATTTAGGATTTTTGAGTTAGATGATACTAAAATATTTTGAATACTAATCTTTACTTAAATAATTACACTTGCAAAACAAAATGAGTTTGTATATACTTTTAATTCTATTTTTGTTGAGAATATTATTAACTAATAAAAGTTTCTCTCACACTTCAACATGGTATCAGAGCAGGTAGAGGTCTGGGATCGAATCTCATCGTCATCCAAATTAAAAAAGAATTTTTACGTGCTTGGCGCATGAAAAAGAATAGGCCCACACGTGTAAATTTTATACAAGCTTGATTTAGTGTCTTTTTCTAATGTTTTGTTTTGATTTTGATTGAACTCGTTGTTGTGTTCATCTGATTAACAGTATAGGCTAAGTAAAGAGGTCATAAATCATAATGTTTCTGTCTATTCAGTAGTTTAATAATATGATGCAGAGATGTTGGAAGAGTTGTTAAAGAGAGAAAAGGAAGCAAATATAAAGCCAGATCCTGATATTGACATGTTTATGAAGGTATGAAGATTAACATTCAGTTTCTGGTATGAAAGGGAATTTTAATAGCTTACCTGTTTTTGTCAAAATGATTTGTTTTCCAGGCAGCATCAGTTCAAGGGAAAGAGCCAAATATAATAACAGATTATACACTCAAGGTAATCCTAACTTCATTACACTCACTAGTGCCTAAACAAGTCTATTTCTTGCAAGCATTTATCGCCTATTAACTCTTAATTAACAGATATTGGGTCTTGAGATATGTGCTGAGACACTAGTTGGTGATGAAATGGTACGAGGAATTTCTGGTGGACAGCTAAAGAGACTCACCACAGGTACTCATGTCATTTCGATACAATTCAACACCTTTGACTATCATACTGTTCATATATGGTTAAAACTATTTTGTTATGTATATATAGTTGATGTTGAACATCTTTTGGTCTCTTCGTGTGTCTACTTTCCGTATTTCGAACTCCCTTAGTGAAAATCCTGGCTATATATTGTGAAAGTAGTCTATCTTGCTTTAACAACAATATCATTTTAAGCTATTAAATTTGCATTCAGAGGAAATGTTTGATTTTCTTCATTTTATCGTCAATTGTTGTTGTTGAAGTCTCTCTTCTTCTTGTCACCCTGATTCAGGAGAGATGATGGTTGGACCAGCAAGAGCTCTATTTATGGATGAAATATCAACTGGATTAGACAGTTCAACAACCTTCCAAATCGTCAAATCCATTAGACAATCCATCCACATTCTTAAGGGAACTGCTCTTATCTCCCTTCTGCAGCCTGCACCAGAAACTTATGGCCTTTTTGATGACGTGATTCTTTTGGCGGATGGGCGAATTGTGTATCAAGGTCCACGTGAACATGTTCTTGAATTCTTTGAGTATGTGGGGTTTAAATGTCCTCGGAGAAAGGGAGTAGCTGATTTCTTGCAAGAAGTAAATCTCATTCTTCATTACTATTTTCTACTTACGTTAAAACCATAGTATCGACTGAACCATTAAATTTCCCTACGTAGGTGACCTCTAGGAAAGATCAGGAGCAATACTGGGCAAGGACAGATGAGCCATACAAATTTGTTTCATCCAGGGAGTTCTTTGAAGCATTTCAGTCCTTCCATGTCGGACGCGTACTTGCAAATGACCTTTCTGTTCCTTTTGACAAGGCCAACAAGAATCCTGATGCTCTAACCACCAACAAGTATGGCGTTAAAAAGAGGGATCTTTTGAAAGCTTGCATGTCAAGAGAAATCCTTCTCATGAAGAGAAATATATTTGTCTACTTGTTCAAGATAATACAAGTGAGTCGGCCAGCAAGTTTTATCTTGTCTTTTTGTTCCGTGCTTATACAAAATATCCTGATGGAGTTGTAGCACCATGCTAGTTTATGTTCTATGTAATGCAATAGTCCAGAGCAAACATATAGGTTTCGCGGACGCATTTGAAACAACTATTTATATACAATTATTTGTATCATTACACTTGTAATTATTCTTAGTTTCTTGGTGAAAACTAAGAGTAAGACTTTGGTGATTTCAGCATCTGTTATTGGCTTCTATAACAATGACACTGTTCCTGCGAATCAAGATGCCGAAGGAGACACAGACAGATGGATTCATCTTCATGGGTGCATTGTTCTTTACAGTAATTGCAGCTATGTTCAATGGGTGCTCAGAGGTTCCTTTCACTATCTTGAAGCTTCCGGTCTTCTTCAAGCAGCACAACCTTCTCTTCTTTCCTGTATGGGCTTATACTTTGCCTGCATGGATAGTCAAGATCCCAATCTCAATTATCGAGTCTTCCATTTGGGTTTCTATCACATACTATGCAATAGGATTTGATCCAAACATTGTAAGGTAAGTAAATCAACACTAGTATCAGTTTAGCTTCTGTAACATTGGATCTCGAGGATTTGGATCTTGATTTTTAATGCTTATTCTGTAACTTTGAAAGTGTACTTGCAGAGACTTTTCGAAGTTGAACAAAATTTGTGTTTTCACTTACATGTTCTCGCAATGAGAATATTTATATCTTTAGTTAGGATTTTGATATTCACAATCTGAAGCTATTGCATATCCATTTTCCTTATTTTTCTTTGTTAAACTGATTGTGGAACGAAAGGATTACCGTGGCAGGTTTTCCAAGCAGTTATTTCTAGTGATATGTGTTGACCAGATGGCTTCTGGATTATTTCGCTTCATGGCAGCTGTTGGAAGGAAAATGATAATCGCAAACACATTGGGATCGCTTGCATTACTTCTTGTTCTTGTAATGGGTGGATTCATAATGGATCGAGGTGAGAATATCTTTCTCAGCTATCATGTCAAAAAAGATCACAGTAGCTTAATAGTAACTGAAGGTAGAATTTTGTGACACCTACGCGAACTATGATAATATCTAACAGAACAATGATAACGTAACGACTAATACATTTTCCATATCTCTTATTAGAGCTTTATTAGTCTCTGAAGTTGAGGGTAGTTTCATCCATATTTTCTGATCCAGGTTGCTAAGCATGGAGACAGGGAGTACATTTTTGCATTCGGTAAAAGTGCTGATAACTGTGCTATTTGTTTGCAGATGATGTGAAAAAATGGTGGTTATGGGGTTACTGGTGCTCTCCGATGATGTACGCACAGAACGCCATCACTGTAAATGAGTTTCTCGGCAATAGTTGGAGTAATGTAAGCAATCCTTCTCTTGCTTTGAAATTCCATACACAAAGTTCATTTCATCTGAACTAGTACTCCTATTGCAGAATGTTCCTGACTCAACAGATACACTAGGAGTTGTAGTGTTAAAGTCTCGGGCAATGTTTCCTGATGCACACTGGTACTGGATTGGAGTAGGCGCAGTGCTAGGATACGTTGTATTTTTCAATTTTATGGCTACGTTGGCCTTAACTTACCTCAAGCGTATGTGTTATTTGTCTGACTTGAGTTGCAATCACTTCCATCTATCAACTTCTAACATGCGTCTGAAAAACTGAAATTAATATACTGTATGCAGCATTTGGAAAATCTGGTGCAGTTTTACCTGATGAAAAAGTTGTCGAAAGGAACACAAAGATACGGAATATAGACATAAAGTCATCAACAGGAGGTACTTCTTGTCTACATGATTCAAAATTACTTCTTAACATTTGAGTTCATCAGCAAGATGGATTACAACGTTTGCTATAACGATGATAAGTTTATAGTTTGTCAATCTTATACAAACTAAAGCCACATAGTATGCATGAAACGGGAAAATATCGTCTAAGGCTGTTAGAAAATGCTTAGACACCTAAAATCCATAAAATGGTTTATGGTTTAGTTTACTCTTAAACAAAAAAATAACATAGAAATACCCAGGATGCTTCATATAAAACAGCTACTTGAATCATGCAGAAATGAAAAATGAGGGCAAAAGAACTGCACCTATTCGAGAAACCAAGTCAATCAAGAAGGGAGGGATGATTTTACCATTTCAACCTCTTTCGCTAGTTTTTGATGATATCAGATATGCAGTCGATGTGCCTCAGGTACATAAAAAAGTGTTCCCTTTGTATTTTTGCATATTACATTTGGAATTATCCTTATTTAGTTTTCATGGAGAGATCACCAAACTGCTCCAAGTATAATTTTGCTTTTAAAGAGATGAAATGTTAACTCTTCCAAAACGTTGAAACTCTCCACGCTATTCAAATGCTTTCTGTTTTTGAATATATTTGTTGCTTGCAAGAAAATGAGCATTCTCTTAAAAGAGCTAATTTGATAATTTATGCTAAAAAGTGATGTCCTATGAGTAATGAGACTAGCTGCTAATTAATTATCGGATGGACAATTTTATTAAAATAAACATATCTATATCTAGGATGTGGTGGAAATAGTCACATTACATTTTTGCTTATAGCGTAAATTTAAGTAAAAAGGAAAGCTTCTGTGAAGTACTTGAAACCATTGCAGTCCTTTTGGATCTATACATACTCAAGATATGTTACTCTCGTAGGATATAAAACCTCAAGGTGTTTTGGAGGCCCGGTTAGAGCTTTTGAAGGAAATTAGTGGTGCTTTCCGTCCAGGAGTCCTTACAGCTCTAATGGGTATTAGTGGAGCTGGAAAAACCACTTTGATGGATGTTTTGGCTGGTAGAAAGACACATGGATATATAGAAGGAAGCATAACTATATCAGGATATCCGAAGAAGCAAGAAACATTTGCACGAATTGCAGGATATTGTGAACAAACAGATATTCATTCTCCTAACCTTACAGTACATGAATCATTGCAATTTTCAGCATGGCTTCGATTGCCTCAAGAAGTTGACAGCGCAACTAGAAAGGTATTCTTTTGTTATGTCAGACTTCATTTTAGGATAAATGTATTCTTTTATTCTCATCTCACTGAAAGGTGCATTCTTACATGTTCTAGTTTTTCCAACCTTCCGTTATATTCTTTTGAAAATGGCATATTGTTGTGACTTTGCAGCACTTAGCCTCATTTATAAAACTTCAATCTTTTATTAGGAAAGGGAAAATGAAAAGACACGGAACTCTCACTACCATTCATTAAAAATGCAACTTTGATACTTACATATATTTAGCTTACATGTCAAAAATCTTCTTAATTTCGTAAACTCCGCGTCTAGTCGTGCATCTTCACATAAAATGAGATGGAGGAAGTATTGCTTATTATATTCTCTAGAAAAGTTATTGATTTTCCTTAAGAGATCATACACAGATAATCAGCTTAGAGAAACGCCTATTATTATTTATTTTTGAAGGACAACAGAAGTGTTTGCAATATTTAGGCTAGGTGATAACATATCAAAATGAAATGTATCCAGATGTTCATTGAAGAGGTGATGGATCTTGTGGAACTAACCCCACTGAAGGAAGCACTTGTTGGATTACCCAGTGGGAGTGGTCTTTCGGTTGAGCAGCGCAAACGACTTACTATAGCTGTTGAGCTTGTTGCCAATCCATCTATAATATTCATGGATGAACCAACCTCAGGCCTTGATGCTAGAGCCGCTGCAATTGTCATGAGAACAGTTAGAAACACAGTTGATACTGGCCGAACAGTCGTATGTACCATCCACCAACCCAGCATTGACATCTTTGATGCATTTGACGAGGTAACCATTCCGTCTTAGCTTGTTTCTTTTTTCTGTCAAGCTCTGTAGCTAATACAAAACTTCTGTTAAATAAGAATATAATTCCAATAACAAGTAAAATTACCTTGTGGATCAAAGTAGATTCGCTTAATATAACTAAGCAGTTTATCTTACAGACACTTGACATATCTGTTTCCATCGTACTTGACTTGTAAAATTGTTTCTGCACAGTTGGTGCTTCTAAAACAAGGAGGTGAAGAAATCTATGTTGGTCCATTAGGCCATCATTCGTCCGAGTTAATCAAATACTTTGAGGTATAGTACTGATAACAAGTTGTTGACGTCCTTGCTCGGTTAGATTTTATCCCATCTCGCAATGTTTATGTATGATTTGGCCACTTTTTCTTTTTCCAAGGGAATAAACGGAGTACCTAAAATCAAGGATGGTTATAATCCTGCCACTTGGGTGTTAGAGATCACATCAAAAGCACAAGAAGCTGCCCTTGGCGTTAATTTTGCAGTACTATATAAAAGCTCAGAACTATACAGGTATTCTTTGATAACCAAACGGAAATCCCTCAACTATGCCTAAATCTCAAACTAATTGGAGCTAGTAGCTATGTGAATCTGTTCCTCTCTATTTGGACCCATTTCATTTTATACTGGTACCGCATAAATGAATCCCCGGCTGTTTTTATGACTAATTTTGCATTGCTTATATTCCTTCTAGTCATGCCACTAGAACTCTCACCCTGTATTGATATATCAGCTCTGCACACTTTATATGTAAATCCAAATACAATATAAGCATGTTTGTTCTTTCAACACTACAAGGATTAAAATCACCGGATCCTATGTTAACATATAAGTTTTGCACAAAAGAGTCTAGCTTAGGCAAAAAAGATTCCACTTGTAGTCAAAGTGCTACATATTCCTTTACTTATGAGCAGAGTTATTTTCAACAAGTTTTGAAATGGGATGGTACTAAACTGACGAATCATTACTGTGTTGACGAATATTCAGAAACAATAAATCTTTGATCAGAGAAGCAAGTATATCAACCCCAGGTTCAAAAGAATTGAATTTTTCGACTAAGTACTCGCGATCTTTCTTCAACCAATGCATAGCTTGCCTTTGGAAACAGCATTGGTCCTATTGGAGAAATCCATCATACACTGCTGTGAGAATTCTTTTTACGTCATTTACTGCCCTCATGTTTGGAACAGTTTTCTGGGATCTTGGCTCTAGAAGGTAACCAATTTTGTTGCTTTCTTTATCCACAAAAAGAAGAAGTCGAAATTTGATTCCTGAAATAATGTTAGTGTGGAATATCAGGAGAAGGAAGCAAGATCTTTTTAATGCTGCAGGTTCCATGTATGCATCTGTTCTATTTCTCGGTATACAAAATGCTTCCGTAGCACAGCCAGTTGTTTCCATTGAGAGAACAGTCTTCTATAGAGAAAGAGCTGCTGGCATGTATTCAGCTTTTCCATATGCTTTTGGTCAGGTAACTAAGCATTGTATATAGGTATACGCGACCAATGCCTTGCGTGATTGGATCTCCTTCTTATAAGTTTATTGTTATTTTGCAGATTGTGATTGAGCTTCCTTACATTTTAGTTCAAACAGTTGTGTTTGGCGTGATAGCATATGGCATGATAGGATTTGAATGGACAATAGCCAAGTTCTTTTGGTATCAATTCTTCATGTTTTTCACCTTGTTATACTTCACACTTTATGGGATGATGACAGTAGCTGTTACTCCAAACCTGAGTGTTGCTGGAATAATATCAAATTTCTTTTACGCAATGTGGAACCTCTTCTCCGGTTTTGTTGTTCCCAAAACAGTAAGTTCTTCCTTCAACACATCACCGATGATCAACAATTATACCTAATTTCACTTATTCTCATTTCTAGCTCCTTTCTCTTGCAGAGGATTCCAATGTGGTGGAGATGGTACTATTATGTATGTCCTGTCTCATGGACATTGTATGGATTAGTTGCTTCTCAGTTCGGGGACTTAACGGATGAACTTGAGGAAAATTTAACACTCGAACAATTCGTGAAGAGTTATTTTGGATTCGAGAGTGATTTTGTGCCATACGTTGCCATCATTGTCATCGCATTTTGTATCCTCTTCGCCTTCATTTTTGCCTTCTCGATCAAGGCTTTTAACTTCCAGAGAAAATAAACATGTCATTTTCAGCTTAATTTACAGGAAACAGGCTTCAACTAATGGCCTAATGCTTCTCTGCTTCAATGTCATATGGACAATACATTTCTCAACTATACTCAACTCTTGTACCTTATACAAAACTAGATGAAGGATTGTCCATGCTGATTAATTACAATAATCATTGTTTTAGTGTATTGTTTCAACTAATTTGTAAGGAGCATTCTTGTTTCTTTAATTACTTCTCCATATTTTAAGATAGAATTTTTATATGAGCTCCTCTCCTTACAGTCAAGTGACTTTTACTCCACATTGAGAGTTAGAAAGCGTCAGTTCTCGTAACAAGGCTTAGGCCCACTGGGTAGGGCACGGCCCCCCAATTCTCAACCCCAACCTACTCAAGAGGTTTTTTACCCACATTTGAAAAAAATAGGGATACTATCAGAGATCTCCCCTCAAATTTTGCTCAGTAACACTAACCTCCCTCATGATTTACAATATTATGCTTAGCTCCCTTATTTCGATTTATTTTGTAACAAGTCTTTGTTTTATTTATTATTAGATGTAGAAAAATCGTGATTTGACTAATTTTCCCTTACCAATTTACTTTTCCATTCAGTCATTTGTATAAATATCGTTTATTACTTTTTTTATTATCTTATTTATTAAATTGATAAATAAGAAATCAAACCAACATAATCGATTTTTAAATTCTCTAAACCAAACTAAACCAAATATAATATACATTTATCGGTTTGGTTGTTATCGGTTTCAGTTCGGTTCAATTCGGTTCGTTTATTTGGTTATTTACCATACACAAAAATAAAAGAAACAGTTCATTCAAAACAGGAAAAAAGTGACGAACAATCCATTCAAAATAAAAAATAATTAAAACGGTTGATATTACAGAACTTTCGATCACAAAATTTACTGTGAATAAAGCTTCAAAATTCACCATTTTGTCTTAGAAGGAAGAGACACTGACATTACTAATCCTACCAAGAATTGTTTTAGACACTCATATACATGAAATCAATAAGATAAATGTTTTCATTTCGAATATTTTTGCTTTCATAAATAGATAAATAATTTTGATTAAAACATATATAAGATCTTTAAAATTGGTTATATAAATAATATATTATGTATGTATAATAATAAAATATATGTATATAATTTGTCGGTTCAATTCAGTTATTTCTTCGGTTATCTCAAACAAAATCAAAACCAAACCAAACACTATTGATTTTTAAAAATCGAAAACCAAATCAAACTCAAATAAAATCGATTTATTTAATCAGTTTTGTTTAGTTTTTCGGTATGGAACAATTTTTATCCAAACCGTGAACACCTCTATGTGTCATGTGTTTTCATAATATTTATGAGAATATTTTACTTTAAGCTAATTATTGGTGAAGGATATTAGTGAGGGTAAAGTTGTCATATTTTAATTTTTTAAATATTAATAATAAATAAAAGAAAGAATTGTTACAAAAAAAAAAGTCAAAACAAGGGAAGTAAGAGCAAAACCTGAAGGGAGGTCTCTTAAATTATCCCATGATTGTAAGGATAACTTTTGAAAATTAAAACTAATATTCAACTATTCTACTATATATGAGAGGCAAGAGCAAACAATTTTCAGACAACTGTCACAACCCAAAAACTAGGATCATGATGGCACCTATTAAATTTCACCGGTGTAAGCCAACTCATAGCCTAGAACCAACAATAATGGGTGTTGACACCCAATTTTGACCCTCTTCGATAATTAATTTTTGAACTTCTTAAATTTTCAAACGATTTGGAACAATTAGCTTTACGAAATCCAAATATTTTTCTAGGTCAGTTTAAGTAATTTTAGTCGATTTTATAGTATTTTATAATTATATGTGAAATTAGCGTTTCTTAAATATTCGAAAGTTGTTTCAAAAAGATTTTGTTTTAATTAAATCTTCAATTGAGTTAATTGGGTTTAAAGTATATTTATAATTTTAAGTCATTTAGCTTATTAGTTTAATCATCTTCTCTCTTTTGTTATTTAACTTTGCATGTTAGTGTGTTTATCTAATTTTAAGGTTTTCCTAATCAATGCCCCAAAAGATAGCCATTTTGAATTAACCATTAAAAAATTAAGTGATTTTTTTTTACTTTCTCTATTTGTTCAAGTAGACGTATTTTCTTTAAAACTGTTAAGCCAAATAGTTAATTACCGGATAACCTCATGTTAGCGGGCATTTCGGGTGCTTTCAAACCCTTCCCGAAATGCTAATATGAACCCCGAACCCCCTTTTAATATTTTTCATTAGATTTCTGTTTCAGTCTTTTGGAAAATTAGTTTTCTTGATTTTTCTTTAAAAATTAAGTGGCGACTCTTAAAAACCCATCGTTTTCTCTCTTTTTAAATAAAACAGAATGACGACTCTACTGGGGAATTGAATGGGTTCTAACCTTAAAATTAACTTATTTGGCTATTTGTTTAAATTGCTTGATTGTTCCAATTCTTGTATATTATAAACTGTTGCATTTCATGGCATCTGATTCCGTCAAACGACAAATAGATTGCATTAGGAAAAAAGGCGGTTACGTGGCTTTCCACGGCTGTCCTTCAGAAAAACACCTTTGAATTCTTTTGAAGTGATAAACGAATAGTTGGCTTGTGGTCATCCAACGTTGTTTATTATACTTCACACTGTAGTTTGTCCAACTCGGGTAACCAGGTCTTGTCTAAACCAACTCTTAGTCAACTAGCATAGAGCGAAACCAAATCCCTTTTAGCGCATTGAACTAAGATGACCCAACACCCAAGTCGTGTTGGGCCCATTAGAGAGACCATCTTGAGTCCAAAATGGCCCACGGCCTAAACAAACGATCATACTTATGTGTTTAAATTTGAAGGATGTAAATGTCGTTGGGCAAATCATTGTCCCTCGAGGTTGAAAGTTTTTTTAAATGAGCTTACTTTAGTTAAAAACGAAGGTCTTCATGATTTATCATTTGCATCCAAAAACGTGGACATCCGAAGATGACAAGAAGTTCAAAAAAGAAGGATTTTCCATGGAGGCATATCTTAGGATTGTACCCCTGCGCGGGACTGATTATTTTGTATCATTTTCCCCTATTATGTATCCCCATTCAGTTTATTCATAAAGCTTGTATAAATTTAGGTTTTGGGGAAATGGAATGTTTCAACTGACGTATATATCTTTCAAATCGTTAGGCCTACCCTTGTCAAAAAAGGGGTCACATATCTGTTTAGAACGCGCAATATTTGTTTATGTGTTATAACTGCTTTTGTGATTATGTTGCTTTATTTGGAGATGTTCTAGCCTACTCTTTTTGGAATTTTTCTAGAAACCCCTAAGTACAAATATCAAGTCACTATCAAAAGTGCGTCCAAATATTTTTCGATTCTTAATTGTTTCTCAACAAAATTTGAACTTCATTTTTCACATCTTACTTCAGAAAAAAAAAGGTTAACCCTTTATCCCAAATCGAAAAACTATTCAAGGGTCAAACTACGTAGGACCTAATTCTCCTCCGTGAGATACATAGGCAGCCGTTCAAGGTTCGGTCCCCATTTTTGAGAAAAAAAATTTCAACTCTTACAAAGAAATTAGAGGTACATATCAATCAAAAAATCAGAAGTACGACAATGAAAGATACAATTGACTTTGTCTCAACTGAAGTCGACTTTTTCTTATTCACCAAGCTCAAAATTGAATAGACAAATTCCGAAAAATTTTATAATGGATGAGGGATAGATATGATGTGGTAAACACAAGTTGTATGAGGCTCTTCTTAGAATTTGTCAAGTGGATTATTGGGTCCCATTTTCAGAAAAATGGGCCAAATCCATTTCTCTCTCTTCCTTTTTAACTTTTTCTCTTTGATTGAAATCTTCAATTTTTCAACATCTCTTCTTCTTCTTCTTTTTTAAAAAAATGTGAAATTTAGTCTAATTCATCGTACTTTTAACATTTGATATTAATTTTCTTTCATGTATTGATTATTCAATTACTAAAAATTATTTGTCAACTAACAAATTAAATAATATTTTTATTTTTATTTTCATTACACTAATAATTAATTATTCTTAAAAATATAAAAAAATTTGTAAAATTGCAAAAACAATTCTGAAGGAGTAAATTAATAAAGTATCATTTTTATTTATAATTTCATAAAACATCCGTAAAAGACAAAATAAATAACTAATACGAAAAACGAAAGGGGTATAAATTATTATTTCTTTCTCTTTCAATAATTTCATATATACTTAAATTCATCAAATATTCACAAGAAAATATAATGGAAAGAGCATCAATAATTTTGACAAATAATTACATAAGTTTTTGTACTATCTTAATGTAACCCAAAATCGATTTTTTTCATAAACACTTAAATATATACCTACTCTTCCATCAATTTATATGATATCTTTTTGTTCTTGAAATCAAGCAATATAAAATTTAATTAATATTTTAAAATATATTTTTATTTTTTATATTAACATAAGAACTACAACTTATAACGTTTGTTCATAAATAATCCTTCCCACTAAGTTGCAATTCAACCAACTACAAGTTGCAATTCTTATCATGTTAGCATATGAAAAAAATACATTTTATAGCTTGAATTTCGAGAAAAAAATAATCGAATAAAATGATGGAGAGAGTAAAATGGAAAAAAAAAGAATTGATTAATGTAATTTAAATAACTATTTATGTTTATCCTAAAACTAAAACAATTAATTTTTTATGAGATTAAGTGCACACATCTTAGTTTAACTTTTTTAAGTACATAATTATTTGACTTCAAATCTAAATTAGTATCAATATATTTATCTCTATTTGATTTTTGACAAATGAGTATTATGAACTATAAAAAAAGGTAAGGAAAATAAATATTAATTTTAAGAAATAATGAAATGCTAATTTTAATATAGTATTATTTTTTTCTTTGATCTTGTTATTGTATTATTTTAAATTTATGTAATGAAATATATTAAAATTAAAAAATAATAATATCAAGTACTTCATATTAAAGAGAGGTAAATAGAAGGTGGGGTGGAGGAGTGAGAAGAGAAAGGGAGAGGTTGAAAAGACATGGGACCTACAAAATGTACTTTTTTCTATTAAAAAAATCC